ATATATATATATTTGGAGATTTGTGAAAGAAAGAGGGGGGAATCACTGGAAAGCATTTTTGAAGAAGCTTTCAAGCGGTTTTTAGCAGGTTAAAAAATTAAGCTTATACAAGGCTTATAGTTTACCTACCTGTTTCATTTTATATGCACATAAATGTCAGAGTATCAAATAAAAAAATGTGTGTGATATTGTTGGGATAAGAAGTAAATCAACCCATTTGAGATGTGCACAATATACTTGTTGCAGGCTTTCAAATCTCCATGGGCTTCTTCATCAGGCAAGATGTTACAAACCAAACAGGAGAAAAACAATTGTTCCTTTGTTTTTCTCCTGTTTGGTTTGTAATATCTTACCTAATGAAGAAGCCGATGGAGATTCGAAAGCTTGCAACAAGTATATTGTGCATTTTGGTTGGCCAATAAAGGTACCACTGATGGATTTTTGTTTGAATTTTCTAAATCAGGGGTAGGCAACCTTTCCCCTTTAAGGGCCGAGGGACTTCAGCTCCCAGAAGCCTCAGCCATGTTGGCCAATAGTCCCATGTTGGCCAATAGCTCCTGGGATTCTGGGAGCTGAAGTCCCTCGGCCCTTAAAGGGGAAAGGTTGCCTACCCCTGTTCTAAATGGCTAACACAGCTACTACCTCTGAATGTCATTTGAGATGTGGGTTGGGACACCTGGTCACCCTGTAGCCAAGTATTCAGGTTGTTTTTGTACTTGAAAAAAATGGTATAATGGGTTAAAATATTTGGTCACTCTGTATATACGAAACTATTCGCTGTTTTTTACTTGAAAATAGGTACCGTACAGGGGTAGGCAACCTTTCCCCTTTAAGGGCCAAGGGACTTCAGCTTCCAGAATCCCAGGAGCTATTGGCCAACATGGGACTATTGGCCAACATGGCAGAGGCTTCTGGGAGCTGAAGTCCCTCGGCCCTTAAAGGGGAAAGGTTGCCCACCCCTGGGACATCTGGTCACCCTGTAAATATATTAAAGCCAAATATTCAGGGGGTTTTTACTTGGAAAATAGGTATAATGTGTTAGGACATTTGGTCACCCTGTAAATATACTAATGTATTATATATTATATAAAACATTATATAAAAGCATTGCTTCTTTTTTTTACTTGAAAAAAATGGGTAAAATGTGTTAGGATATTTGGTCACCCTGTATATAATACAGTAGGTTTTGTTGTTGTTTTTTACTTGAAAAAAATGGGTAAAATATGTTAGGATATTTGGTCACCCTATATATAATAAAATATTGTGGCGTTTTTGTTTTTGTTTTTGACCTGAAAAAAAATGGGTAAAATGTGTTAGGATATTTGGTCACCCTGCAAATATACTAGAGCCAAATAGACTGTTTTGCATGAGGGAAAGATAGATATAATGGGCTGGGTAGGGCATCTGGTGGCCTTGACGGTAACTCAATGGTTTTATTATGGCTCTTTTTCCTGTCAGGACTGGGCCTGGGCCGCCATTTTCCTCAGAGCACCCTCCCTCTGTCTGCCCCCAACAATGGCTGAGCGACGGGGTGACGTCACAATGGCCGAGGGCGCGCGAAACCGGTGCGCTGCCAGGGAGGGAGGGAGGGAGGCCGCCTGGCCGCCCAGAGAGCGAGCACAAAATGGCGGCGCTGCTGAGGGCGCCTGCAGCAGGCGGCGCTCCAAGGAAGCGAGGGGCCTCGCTCTGGCTCCTGGCGGCTTTGGCTCTCGGCCCTTGTGAGTCCTGGCCAGCGTCACGTGGGGGAAGCAGGGAGGATGGAGCAAGCAGAGTCTCTCCCCACTTCACCCTTTGGACCTGAGGGTCTCCACTGGGTGACACTCTCTCAGGACAAGTCACACTCTCTCAGGGGTTGACCACACACGTCGTCCTTTTTCCAGGACGCGTCCTCCATTCCAGTCTTCTGTCCAGGAGGAATTCCATCAGGTCCTCCATGCTGAGCATGACTGAGAAGCATATGAATTTATATTTCTATTAGTGTTTTTAGCTTGGATTTGGGAACCTCCTCCATTTTTCTTCCATGACCCTACATTTTGGGGTGCCTGGTCCTCCCTTGTGGTTAAGCCCTAACCGTTAGGACATCTGTCTGGTCAGGGTGGCCAAATGTCCTCCTTTTCCAGGACGCCTCCTCCATTTCAGCCTTCTGTCCAGGAGGAATTCCAATTACGTCCTCCATTTTGAGCAGTGATGATTCCCTAAATTTGGCCCTCCAAAGTGTTTTAGACTTCAGCTCCCAGAAGCCCCAGTCAGCTTGGTCAATAGTGAGGAATTCTGGGAGATGGAAGCCAAAGCATTTGGAGGACCAAGGTTTGGGAAGCTCTGATTTAGATTGAGAAGCATAAATTTATATTTCTATGGGTGTTAATTGCTTTTATTTGGTCATGTCCTCCATTTTTCTTCCATGCCCCACATTTTGGGGCGCCTGGTCCTCACTTGTGGTTAGGACATCTGGTCAGTTTGGCCAGAGATCCTCCTTTTGCAGGACATGTCCTCCATTTCAGCCTTCTGTCCAGGAGGAATATCCATTTTGAGCATGACCGAGAAGCATGAATATATATTTCTATTAATTTGGGAATATCCTCCATTTTTCTTCCATGCCCTACATTTTGCAGTGCCGGGTCCTCCCTTGTGCTTCAGACCTCTCTGGTCAGGGTGACCAGATGTCCTCCTTTTCCAGGACACATCTTCCATTTCAGACTTCTGTTCAGGAGGAATTCCACCAGGTCCTCTATTTTGAGCATCGCCTGAGAAGCATGAATTTATCTTTCTATGAGTGTTACTAGCTTTTATTTGGTCATGTCCTCCATTTTTCCTGGATGGCCTACATTTTGCAGTGCCTGGTCCTCCTCCTTTGCAGTTAGGACATCTGGCCACCCTGCACTCTCTCAGCCTCAGAGGATGGCCTCTGAAGAAACTTGCCAAGAAAAGCCCAGGATAAGGCCACCTGAGGTTTACCTTAGTTGTTTAAGCATTGGACTATGGCTCTGGAGAGCAGGGTTTGAATCCCTACTCAGGGATGGACACCTAGTGGGTAACCTTGCGCAAGTCACATGCTCTCAGCCTCAGGGAAAGGCAAAGACAAACCACTCTCTGAAGAAACTTGCCAAGACAATCCCATAATAGCCTTAGGGTCACCATAAGTCAGAAATGGCTTTTGAAGACATAACAACAACAAACCTGAAGGCGCGCAGGACAGCAAGGTTTCAATGAGTGGTGGGAGAAGTTCATTCAGGGTGGCCAGGTGCCCAGGAAAGGTCCTCCATTTCAACCTTCTATGCAGGAGGAATTCCAAAATGTCCTCCATTTTGTGCATGACTAAGCAGCATGAATTCACATTCTTATTCATGTTTTCAGCTGCTATTTGGGCATTTTCTACATTTTTCTTGTATGCCCTACCTTTTACAGTGCCTGGTCCTTCTTTGCACTTTGGACATCTGGTCACCCTGCCTTTTCCAGGACCTGTCCTCCCTTTCAACCTTCTGTCCAGGAGGAACTTCAAGATGTCCTCCATTCTGAGCCTGGCTAAGAAGCATGAATTTATATTCATATTAGTGTTTTTTAGCTTTTCTTTTGTAACGACCTATATTTTTTTCCCCTTCAGTGCCCTACATTTTTATGGTCCCTTGTCCTCCTTTGTGATTAGGACATCTGATCACCCTGAATAAGGGCTAAAGGAAGGGCTGAGTAAGGGAGATCTGGCAAAATAAGGGTTGGTGGGGTTGGGGAGAAGCTTAATAGATCTTTGTCAGTGGACCAAAGAAAGGAGCAATCCTGAACAAGTGACTAGTGGTTTCCTAGCTCCATAGTATCCAGTGGGAGTACTTCTGAGTAAATGTACTTTTATCTCAGTATTCTTTGGGGCCTCTGATTTTGTAAATGCCGCAGAGGAAATGAAAAGACATTATAGCTGTATTTTGATCAGCGTGCAAAGGGATCTTGTAGCAGCTCTTGGGTCTGATCTCCACTGCAGGAATTATGCAGTTTGGCACCCCTTTGACTGTCATGGCTCAATGCTATGGAATTTTGGGACTTGTAGTGTGCTGTGGCACCAGAGCTCTTTGACAGATCAGGCTGAATACCTGTGTGCTGTTGTTGTGTGCCTTCAAGTAGTTTCCGACTTAGGAGTTTTCTTGGCAAGTTTCTTCAGAGAGGGGTTGCCATTGCCATCTTCTGATGCTGAGAGAGTGTGACTTGCCAAAGGTCACCTAGTGGGTTTCCATGGCCGAGGCAGGATTCAAACCCTAGTCTCCAGAGCCTTAGTCCAACGCTCAAACCACTATGCCACACTGGCTCCTTGTATTCACGTTGAATACCTCACAAAACTACAAATCCCAAAATCCGATAGCATTGAGTCACGGCAGTTAGAGCAATGTCAAACTGCATTATATCTGCAGTGCAGATTAAATTTAGGGCCTGAACAGACTGCCAGAAATAATCCAGCTTCAGACCACTCTGGCTCAATGCTAGGGAATCATGGGAACTGTAGTTTATTGTGGCACCACAGCTCTCTGATAGAGAAGACTCAGTGTTTCAGAAAAAACTACAATTCTCATGATTCCCTAGCATTGAGCCAGGAACGTTAAAGTAGTCTCAAACTGGATTATTTCTGGCAGTCTGTCCAGGCCCTTAGTCTCAAGGGTGCTACAAGATCCCTTTATATATCACAGAGGAAATCCCTTCTGTATTGCTTTGAGACTGGAAGGTTTTGCTCAAAACTTGGAAGTGTTGCTTTTGGGTCTGCAACTGTCAAAGCTCCCACTATCTCCTGGACAAGGTTCTGGACATGCTTTATTTTTTTAAGTTGCTTTTTGGGACTACAAGTCTCATGCTGAATGGGGGATTTGGGGGGATGTAGTCCTAGATTTGGTTGCACCTCTGCTTTTATATTTTTACATGGACTCTGTTCTAAGAAAGTCCCAGAACATGACTGTGATAGCCTTAGTATAGTATATGATTTGGTATGGGAAGTCTCAAGTCTTACATTTTGAAGCGTAATAGTTTTTAAACCTGTCCCTTATTGAGACTGGGTCTGTAGTTGTGAATCAAAGCAGGAGCCAGAAATTCATACCTGCCATCCCGTTTCTTTCAATGTGCCTGAAACTGGGGCAGTGAAGCTATATTTAGTAGTCAAGCATTCACTATTTTTTACTTGGAAAATGGATATAATGACAGCTCCCAGTTCCACAGTTAGAACTTTATCTCAAGGAAGAGGAATGAACAAAATTAGAAACTTCTGAGAACAACAGTCCTAAACCACTCAAGTATGGATATATTATGCTTCTAACTCAGCTGATAGCCTTAGGAATAAACTTATTGCATGATTATAAAGCGCCACAGGTACCAACAAGGAATTAAGGAATTATCCCTTTGAAATGCTATTGCCCTTATAGATTATCTTCGGCAATTCTTTAGTGACTCTTCTAGAAAGAACATACGATGGGAAAAATTAGACTGAGGCCCATCTAATCAACATTTTATTTCCATTGTAGCCAACCAGATGCCCACAGGGAACACACACTAAGGAGAAAGGCAGCACAAAATCATCCTCTCACTCATATTTCCCAAAATAGCCACACAACAATATAACTGCTTCTGTTGGAGTAAAAGCTAGTAGCAAATAATAGCTTTATCATCCATTAAAGTGTCTAATCTAATCCCTTCTTCAAGTCACTTAGGTTGGTGGCAATGAGTATACTTTGTAATAGCAAACTGCATAGCTTAAAGATTCCTTTTTACCTAAATCCAATATTTTATTTGTTTGTTTGTTTATCTATTACATTTATTTATTATATTTATTTATATCATGCCCTTTTCCCAAAACTGGAACTCAGAGCGGCTCACAACATTAGGGGGGGGGGAACAGTACAATTAAAAGCACACAAAGATAGTACGTTAAAACAGAATTAAATTATTGCAATATTAAAACAAGTTACATGTTAAAAGAATAAAATACACTTTAAAAGATAAAAATGTTAACAATACTTTACAATACAACACCCCAGCCAATACTCAGTCCCAATTAAAGTAGACCCACTGAACAGGGACATAAAAAGTCCTTATTGATTCAGTGAGTCTGTGCTATTTGGGGACTACCATAGCAGTGGTATACCAGGTCCAGACATTTTAGGGTCAAAATCTGGGACCTAAGGATGATCTCCTGTGATGTTAAAGGAAGCAAGTCCTGGTGCTGTTACGAGGACAATGTAACTGGAGCAGGTTCTGGTGGTGGCATTAAGCATAAAACATAAAGCATCAAACACACTGGCACAAAGTATGCTATTTAAATTTTAAAAACCCATTGAAGGCTGGCCTCCAGTTAGTGGCATATGCAGGCGTTGAGTACATTTTATGAAAGCCAGTGTGGTGTAGTGGTTTGAGTGTTGGACTGTAACTCTGGAGACCAGGGTTTGAATCCCCGCTTAGCCATAGAGACCCACTTGGGTGACCTTGGGCAAGTCACACTCTTCCAGACTTAGAGGAAGGCAAAGGTAAACCCCCTCTGAACAAACCTTGCCAAGAAAACCCCGTGACAGAGCTGCCATAAATTGGAAATGATTTGAAGGCACACAGTAACGACGAGATCTCGTAGTGGTCACTACAGTGGTTGATATTTTCTTCCACTCTCTGCAACAAATAAAACCCTTCCCATTTACCATTTATCCATTGTGCCCCCGCCGCAGCTATTCTGTGATTAATGGTGTGTCAGGGAGGGTTTAAGAAATGTGAGTGTAAAATCCATAGCCAAAATTAT